CAGGAAAGCATATCCCAATTGCAGGAAAAAAATTATATATGTCCAGTATCAATGCAGTACCAACATAGAGTGTTAATTTTCTATATTAGTTGCTAAAAGATTGATTATAGCATGGCATTAAAAAATCTGTGGACGATTTTAACATTATTAAACACCTTTGTCTTGAAAATTTTAAATACTTAACATTTTTGTAGTTTCAAAAGCAAATATGTTTTTAATATAATTAGACTTTTGAGATGAGGGAAATGTTACTGTGAGATTTCATCAGGAATAGAACTGTTTGAATAATTGAGAACATCAACATACGGTTTTAGTGAAGTACATTTTGTGTCCTCCTATTTTAAGTTGTTTATGGTAATTCTAGTTTATTGCCCTGATTTTAAAGAAATCCTAATCCTTAGCTAGAAGTTAAATTTGAAAAAATCCAGTTAATGCCTGGATCCTTTTTTCATGAAATCATTCAATACTGATGGGTCATTACAGTTGCACTGTTCTAAGTGAACTAATATTATTTAATCCATGGAAAGAATTTTGTCTGATTTAGCACATTTTGATATAACTGTTGTAACTTTTATTTGGCTTTAAGAATGTATCTAATCATGATTTTTTGAGGGGAATAACCTGTATTTTTGTACTTTTATAGGCTAGAGGGAGAAATCAACAGCTTGGAAATTCGACCAAGTGATCTGGCGGGATGGGCATTTTCCTGACCTATTTTGTAGAGGTAATCTAGCGCTGTTTTCTTCATTCTTACCTGTGATTGATGCCTATATACTTGAACATGAACACACCTGTCACAGCTGTTGGTTAGTACTCTGCTTTTCCTAGATAATCCCTTTTCTTTTATATTTAAATATTCCTGCAATGCAGGAGGCCCCGGTTCTGTTCCTGGGTGGGGAAGATCCCTTGAAGAAGGGACAGGCTACCCACTCCAGTATTCTTGGGCTTTCCTGGTGGCTTAGCTGGTAAAGAATCTACCTGCAATGTGGGAGACCTGGGTTCCAATTCCTGGGTCAGGAAGATCCCCTGGAAGAGGGCATGGCAACCCACTCCAGTATTCTTGCCTGGAGACTCTCCGTGGACAGAGGAGCCTGGCAGTCTACCGTCCATGGGGTCACAAAGAGTCAGACACGGCTGAGTGACGAAGCACACAGCACAGCATGAATATTACATATAGATGGACAGAGGAGCCTGGTAGGCTGCAGTCCATGGGGT